CACCTTGGCTGGGCACAGAGGAAGCTTTACTCACGGTCACTCCCCAGCCCCGATCCCGCTGGGGGGAGCAGCAGCTGCTCAGCCTGGGCCCCCAGACCACAATCGGGGCAGCAGCATCTGAACCAGGAAGCTCAACCCCAATATCCTGAGGGAGAGAAAGAGAGAAACTGAGTCACTTTCTCCCCTTTAGCAACAACTGAAACCCCCTCCCCACAGGGACACGCCCTGATTTTATCTGCCCCCCATGTTAATTTGGAGTCACTCCCTGTTCTGCCTTGCAGTGACTCTGGATTAACACGCGTCTCAGCGTGTAGCCCTAAGGATTAATCTGCTTGCTTGCATAGATATATCTTTTCTTATAAGTTTAAGTATTTGATGTACTGTAATAGGTTTATAGAATTATATTCAAAATAAGTTTGGCTGTAATGCAAGAGACCTACAGGCTAAAACCCTGTATGATAAGCTAAGGCAAAGTTAGCATATCGATATTGTGACCTATATAGATGTCTAGAGACCTTTTACCTAAACCAATATACAATGCAGGATGGCAAAGGGGATTTTTCAAAGTTGTACCCACAGACTTAATAAGTACACCACAAGTGCGTACATACCTGTCAGCAATACGCACGTACATACTAGCCTATGGGGTAAGTGTACCCTAACATATCTGTGGGGGAGGAATGAAATTTGGGAATAAGAGGAAGGATTTCCAGCTTCATTCATCATCTATTCTAGATCTCTTCATCTTCAACTAGCCAGGAGACTCGAGGAGCGTGTGACAGGGATTGTCAGGGATTCCAGGCACCCTTAGACCCCTAGAAATCTCACCCGAGGCATAAGTAAATGGTTAAAATTACAGAGACTTACAAATTGTGTGTCTCACCCACGCTTTCATAAGAAAACAAACCTAATTTCCTGTGACTGCAGCTTGGCAGCAGTCCGAGTATTTCCAGTTTTGACTTAGAAGTTTAATTTTAAGGTTTTTGAATATAATAGTGCAAGATAAAAAGTAATATTATAAAGTAATAGTGTTCTTGTTAAAGTAATATTATTTAAAGTGATACGTGCGTCTAAGGGGTTTTGTAAAGGTTGAAGTTATAACGAATGGTACCGATAAGATATTAGCAGTAGCCCTGGATCTGATGACCCACACTAGTGGTGGCGGGGGAGTTGACAAATCTAGGTATTAATTGCTGCCAAAAGGCCGCAATAGTTCAGAACTTGAACAGTTCAAGATACCTTATCTCAGTCCCCTTAACTCTCCCGGGCTGCACCTCTGATCCGTCTGCCTTAGCATTTCCCAGTATTTGGCAGGTCCCGACAGAGGGAAAAGACCTCTCGATTAGCTATGAGCCATCGAGGAAACAGAGGGAACATACTCCCATCCCTCTATTATTTACTTGGGACTTATTGAACCAAGTGTAAAAAATGGTTAGGGGTGTTATTTCCTGTGTTTCTGTGAAGGGACGCCTTCAATTTCAGAAAAAAGAAGAACAGGAGTACTTGTGGCACCTTAGAGACTAACAAATTTATTAGAGCATAAGCTTTCGTGG